CATCTAATGCATATTATAACATCTAACACATAATGTCCAACATCTAACAAATAATGTCTAACATCTAACAATAATGTCTAACATCTAACACATAATGTCTAACATCTAACAATAATGTCTAACATCTGACGCATACTGTCAAACATAAAACATATAATGTCTAACATCTAACACATAATGTCTAACATCTAACAATAATGTCCAACATCTAACACATAATGTCTAACATCTGACACATAATGTCTAACATCTAACACATAATGTCCAACATCTAACACATAATGTCTAACATCTAACAATAATGTCCAACATCTAACAATAATGTCCAACATCTAACACATAATGTCTAACATCTAACACATAATGTCCAACATCTAACACATAATGTCTAACATCTAACAATAATGTCCAACATCTAACAATAATGTCCAACATATAACACATAATGTCCAACATCTAACAATAATGTCCAACATCTAACACATAATGTCTAACATCTGACACATAATGTCCAACATCTAACACATAATGTCCAACATCTAACACATAATGTCTAACATCTAACAATAATGTCTAACATCTGACACATAATGTCCAACATCTAACACATAATGTCCAACATCTAACACATAATGTCTAACATCTATCAATAATGTCTAACATCTGACGCATACTGTCAAACATAAAATATATAATGTCTAACATCTAACACATAATGTCTAACATCTAACAATAATGTCCAACATCTAACACACCATGTCTAACATCTGACAATAATGTCTAACATGTGACACATTATGTCTAACATCTAACATATAATGGCTAACATCTAACACACCATGTCTAACATCTAATGCATAGAGTAATGATGCATAACACCTGAACCATTATGTCAACATCTAACATATTATAACGGGTAAATATAAAAAAAACTGTCAATTAATTAATTTAATCAACCATTTTACTTGACTACAGATGAATCATTACCATTTTACCTCATACACTTTCATTTGGGACTATAATACAGTGAGAGTCCTTTGTTTTTTTGTACATATGACACAACCAATAAACTGTAAATAGAATTCATTAGATACAAAGACAATATCCGAATCAAAGCCAATGTTTTTTATTTTAGCACTTTTGGTAAGCAGGACTATAATTAAAACATGATATTTCCCTAAGGAGTTGGAAAAACGGTCATTCCCTGCTCAACTGACTAATTATAAAAAGGAGTGAGAAAATCAAGATTTATTAAAAAAAAAGCGTTTACGCTCATATTGGAAAGACCTTCTGGTAGAAATACAATGAGACACATGCTTGGCTTCCTGCATCCTACAGACTATAACACTTCAAAAATTGATCCAAATCAGCTATAATTATATGAATATGAAAGTATAATACGTGGCATGACTTCAAGTTAAAAAAATTTGAATAATATTTATTGGAAAACTGTTTATTGGATCGGAATCGTAAGGGAGTACACTGGGTAGGTGGTAATATGCACAGTGTGATCATCCTTATCCGTATTCGATTATTCCCCATATTCTCATTGAGTGATAATACCCCTAATCCCTGGAATAATAGTAAAAAATCCACTGCCAAACTGCCATTAACGCCCAATTGTAAGATATAGCTGTCTTTGTTTTGTGCATTAATTTGAATAATGATGGCTTTAGGCCTAGCTTGTGTGTAGGTTGAAAGTGTGTATTAGAATTGTCTCTTTTGTTTTTAGCTCTACAGCAATCACAGCACACCTGTTATCAAAGCATGCAAATGGGTGGCAGAAAAAAACTGGAATATGAGAAATATTGATGATGCAAGATTTATAGCAGAAACCAGAGTGATGCAACCTTCCAATGCTGCTTAAAATAAAAGTGTAATGTATGAAAATAGAGACATCAACATTGGACAAAACATATTCTGCTGGAATTTTCTATTGTTTTCAAGCCAGTACTTGAGATTGATTTTGTGGCAAAATAGTTTTTTCCAAAGTTAGTCAATACATTGGGGCACATTAATTGCCATGCTATTTAAGATAGCTATTGTAAAACATGTGGTCTTGAGATATAAAGTAAATATGTCTTGAACCTGCATCACCATGATCACAGATTAATAATTTATGAGACAAAGAAATTTTGAAAAAATATTCTTAGGCTGTAATCTAGACAAAAGCAGCTATTGCCTCAATGTAGGGGGGGGGGGGGGTTGGTACCATGTATATGGTGATTATAGACTATTTTCATACTAAAGTGTCCCTCTTTTGTAGTTTACCTGTGTAAACTCTGCTATTCTTGAGTAGGGTTTCAGGCAGATTCCATAGAAGTCATTAACTTCAAAACAATTACAAAAACTAAGCACAACCATAATTAATGCTTTATAACTACTGAAAAAGGATGTAAAATTGTGGTTTCAATTTACATATACCTTGTAACGAGGTCATAATGATATACTGCTAAATTGTGGTTGACCTTTAGAGAAAACTTTTGAATCGAATTGAAACAAAAATAGTAATATATCAAGCAATTCACGAAGGAACACATGTGGTCTAGACTTGAGATTTGTAAAAAGGAAATAAAATTTGATATTTTGTAATTTCTACAATGCGTATATCAAATAGTAAAGCTGTTGGCTTTAAAAAGGAGGATGGTAGTTTTGTGGTTTTCGCCTGGAAACCGTACAAACATGTAATTTTTAAAGAATGAAGAGATAAAAAAATACTCATGAATAAATGGTTTTCCTTTGTTCTGAATCCACCTTTCCCATCCTCATTTTTGGCCTCAATTTTATGATTTCATGTATTTTATACATTTGTTGATTTGTTCAAACATTTGTTTATTTGTTCAAACATTTGTTGATTTGTTCAAACATTTGTTGATTTGTTCGTACATTTGTTGATTTGTTGATACATTTTTTTAATTTGGTCCTCAATTAATGTATTTTGCAATTTCTAAAGTGAACAATACCCTTGTTAAACATATTCAACTTTGTCTCATACTCTTACCATGACCTGAATGATCCTCTGAATTCATTCAGCCAATCAGAGCCTTTCTCAACCATGATTATTTCAATATTTCAATGAGTTTGCACAAATGGTGCTGCAGTGCTCTCTAATTCGTTAATTGCGAAACTTTACTTGGCATTAACACACAAAATGTCACTGCCTGCCATTTGTTACGCCAAATGCCTAACACCAACCACTGACCACCATCCACATAAAAGTTGGAGACCATAACAATATGGCACCACAAGGCAAATGAACTGCAGTCAAGAATTAAGATATCTGAAGCTATGGGCTTTCATTTTATTAGAACTTGTCTATGGATAGTTAAGACCCGCTATCGCACTGTAAACAATAATAAAAAACACCAAATCCATGGAGTAGCAAATTCCACTAATGGTGGTGACATAAAAATGATCTGAGGCTATGGGGTTTCATTTTGCTGCAACTTGTCATTGGATAATTACGACCCTTTATCACACTGTAAATAATGTATTTGAGGTCCACAAGGTATCTCATCAATACAAGAAATATGAGGTCACAGTGTACAGATCACCTGTACTTAGTTGAGGACTCAATTTTGCAGAGTAAAGCACAACTTTGTTATTGATAATTAGCATCCTAAGCTAAATGTTACATATCTATGAACCAAAACACATGATTTAGTTTAGAATTTATTATTATCCAAATCAAATAAGAAAGCAAGATGTATCATAATAACCTATAAATAACCTGTATAGGGTGCTTATATAATATGTGTTCTGATACAGATGAAACTAATTTTCAAAATAAATAAAATTGGTTGGATTTAAAGATGTCACTACTGTAATGGTAAAACCCGAACTCTAAACTGTCCATGAAAAGCATCAGAAAAATGAGAACTAGATTGTTGTTTGCACATTGCATGATGACTATATAAGTACATAATACTGAAATTAACATTTTAAAATAAAATAATAATTGAATGAAAAATCTACTGCATTCAAATACTGTGATAACTGGAATGAAGACTGATTGAAACCACCTTATTTGATTTCATATACAAATACAGATGTTGGATGGTGCAATGAATGAATTAGATCCCTCTTGGTAAAATAAAGAAGTAATGTTTACTTTTAAGATGATGTAATATTAAGCTACAATTCAATATTTAATGATGTTTAGCAAGATATTATTATGTTATCTTTCCTTTTTCAATGACAATTATAACAATCTTAAGCCAATGCTGATAACAGAAGGTTGTCAATGATGATAAATGAAAATTGTCAATGATGATACAGGAAGGTGGTCAATGATGATAATTGAAAGTTGTCAATGATGATAACAGAAGGTGGTCAATGATGATAAATGAAAGTTGTCAATGATGATAACAGACGGTGGTTAATGATGATAAATGAAAGTTGTCAATGATGATAACACAAGGTGGTCAACAATGTTAAATTAGATCAAGTTATCAAGAATGATAACTCCAAGTTGTTAATGATGATAACTGGAGGTAGTCAATGATAACTTAGAACTTGGTTTCAAATAATGATGACAACGTAATTTGACATTCTAAAGTTATAAATCATATCTTTACAGAGTTGTATAAATCATAAAATCAGACAAAATTTGGGATCTTAACATAGTTTTACATAAGTACAAATAACTCAGATGCGAGTAGGTAGTTACCAGTTTCACCACCAGGTGGATCATGAGGATCAGATAGCTTGGTGGGTATAGTAGAACGTTCCCCTTAACTTAAATATTCATCTGTTTGAGTGGTTCAGTTTTCATATCATCCTTATGGATGTGATATTTATGCAAATCTAAATATGTCCAGTAAAAAGAAAATGTTATCTGTCCAATACAAGAAAATATTTTTCACTTTTTGTGATTTTATAGCATGGGGTCTATGGGGAATCCCCCCAAACTAGAAAACATTTCTAGATGTACTTTTACATGTAGATTTCAAATATGACATCACTTTGATTGAATTTTGAATATCTAATGAAGAAAATCAAGATTATTTCTACTCGCATCTAGTCTTTTCATTTCAAATAGGGAATCACATCCATGTATATACTAGTCCAAGTAAAGACAAGATAACAATGTTAAATACTAAAAATTCTGATTCATTCTAATGGCTTCTCTGTCAGAAGTAGTTGTTTGCCATAACTATTTTCTTCTCTAGGTTACAGAAAAGTAACATAATAGAATTAACAAAACCATGAGAATTGCACATTTAAGACAATCGTCTATCACTCACTAGAAATCAAACAATTAATTCAGATTTTTATAATCTCTACTATAAAGTTTGGTTGATGCCAAGTTATTCAGCTAAGCAAGATATTTGTCACATTCTAGCTTGAATACACGCAAAAATCGCTATGTTGTTTGTTTCAAAACAAACAACCAGTCAGATGTTGTTTTGTTGTTTGTTTCTCCAACTGCTGCAATATTATAAGCTTATTATGCTTAATCATTAAGCCAAGTTGCTTAAATGTTTATGCATAAATCCATCCATTATGACTTCTTTTCACATTTGTGATGCATGAAGTGTTGTATATTTGTTGCTTTGTTGTACTCATATTTGTTGTTGTGTTTATGTTGAGGTCTTATCTAAGTTACCTCAAGCCCCTGTTAGGGGATTTTCTTGTTGCCATAGTAACAGCATTTGGGCTTGGTTCCTGTTGCCATGGTAACAGTGTTCAACCTTTACCTTTCCAAGCTTCCTTCCATTTAGAATGGAACTCATGTACATTCTCTATGGTTACACCTGCAAATATTCAGGTAAGTATAAATTGTAATTCTTTTCACACTTTCATTATATCTGTCGAATTTTGATTCATGTGACATACAGTTATTGTTTGCTTCAGCTATAGCTTGAATTAAGTCTTGTGTTTTCCCCCACTATATAACCCTCATTCCTATTCATAATGTATCTATATTACAATATTCATGATCAATTTGTCTCTAAAGTAGAACTTTGCTGAACAGTTAGTTTCTATTTGAGAATGCAACTTTCGGCTAGTGGCTACCGGATCAACCTACTATTTTATGACCAACTCATTTAAATATGAATGGAATAGTGGCAGGTTCTATTCATATTTAAATGAGCCCATAAAATAGTAGGTTAATCCAGTAGCCAACAGCCGAAAGTTGGATTTGTGAAAACCAACTTAGTTACCTTCTTGTTGGGCTGTTGCCATAGCGTTTCGTACACGTGGGGACAAGTCAGGGCTTGTTAACTCCTGCTTGGTCAAAATTGACACCATTCCTTTGGGATCATACTCTGGACTCTGTTGGGCAAAATACTTGCAGCAGTCAACAATTTGGTAGAAACGCCTGAAGAAACATAATCCTATTATTTAAACTTGATATTGTACCATGATTACAAATGATCTATGAATTTATGGAAATCAACATGTAAATAGTGCATGTTTATTGTTACAAAGTGTTATCTTCTTTTGAATTAAAGAGAAATGAATAAACCGATTTGATCCAGAATACTGAAAAAAACATTTGTAAAGTCTACTTTAATCATCACAAGGAGTTGCAAAATGAGACCAACTTACCAAGCTTCTTTGTCTTTCTTCTTGAGGTTTTTCAAAGGTAATGTACGTGCTGCTCTTTCATGTGTCTTCTGAGCTCTAACATACCTGTAACATACAATATACCTGTGACATACAAGAAACATACCTGTAACATACAACATACCTGTGACATACAAGAAACATACTTGTAACATACAATGTAACATCGACGTACAAGAAACATACCCGTAACATACAGTACACCTGTGACATACAAACATAGCAGAAACATACAGGATTTTGGGTCAGTATCTAAATCTACCGTTGAACTTGAAGTAAAAAATGAAATGAAAAAGTAACTAATCTTTACAAATACATCATAAGCCTTAGAATTTTATGGTTACTATGGTAACCCAATGTGAAATTGACCATACCTGCTCCCCTTTCTAATTTCAGCCTCCAGCCAGCGTATTGCATCTCTTGATCCTGCTGTGTCCTTCTTCAACCAGTCCAAGTGTTCTATCACTACAAGGAGAAAGGAAGTTAAAATGATATAAGGTGAACGGATGACCAGAGGGGGACTAGAGATGATCATCATGAAGATTTCAACAGATTTCAGGTATAATTTGATGTATTTTTAGGTAGTTAATGTACATATGTCTTTTATTGGCTCTCTGATGGCACCATTGGTACCTGATACACAGCATAGGAAAACTGCTTCATTATGAAGCATTTTGACAAAAAGCTTCATAACAAAGCTTCAAAACTTTATCGATCATTAAGATTTTTGGACAAAATGTTTCGTGATGAGGTAATTAAGCCCGATGTGTAACTCTCACCATTGTGGGACCCCTACCCTATACAGAATTACATACCTGAGTTTGGTATTATGATGATAAAGCGGGCGCTGTTGGCCATCTGTCTGACCAGTGCCAGGCCTTCACACAGGGCTGTAGCATCAGGTATCAGGTATGGAGGCAGGTTGGGCTGGTCAGTTGACTTCAACGTGCCCTCAAGCTGCTTCACTTCAGCCTACAACATTAATGCATGTGGATTGAGGATTATCTTCACATAATATGAAGTCATTAGCATCAAGAAAAGCCCAACATTTTGAAAAATGTGTCAACAAGGTGGGGTCCTTATCCATGGTTTATTAAATTGCCATGGATAATTTGATTGATTTTAAGAGAAAAATATAGTTTTTATGAAAAATATTATATTTATGGTCAGAAAATACTCATTAGATGGTCAAAGATATGACTGCCTAAAATAACTTGCAATCCCCAATCTTTTATACAAGTCACTGTAAACTATGACCCATCGTTCACTTGTGACATTTTTCTTACATCTCAATAAAATATAAGTTTACAGTTCATTCTAGCTACCTGTAATCTAAGTTGGGCCATGTCCTTCATCAGCTGGTTCTTCTTTGCTTCCGTGTCAGCCTGGAAATACACAGAAACATATTGTAAGTGTCACGTTTTAATTTTTCCACAGTACACCTTAAGTAAATGCTGGTTGCTGAAATAACTAAGTAATAATGTAACCTGTTGATAGGAAATAATAGTCAATGGGATATAAAAAATATTTTATATAATGGGTTCAAAAAACGGGACAGAAATGTTCACATTTTAAGGTGTTTATATCAAGGTATTTTGTCTGTTTAATTACTTGTTTGTTTGTTTGTTTCTTTGTCGGCTTGTTAATTTAGGGTACTCAAAGCAAAGACTCAACCTTGTTGTTTGTTTGTACTGTATGTGATGAGATGACATCTCTCTAGCACATGCTATGGGGTGTGAGCTAATGCAAATGTCTTATCATTAGGTTAATGAGGACATCTCACCATTTCACTTCATATTCAATTCAGTTTCACAAGTTTGTGATACAGATTTATTGGATTTCACAACTGATTTCAAGCATACGCAAATAACATGTTTTTTACATTTTGCATCATTATATGCAAGTCATTGGTCAGGCAGCACTAACTTAACCACATTTTTTTTCATCAAACTATTGTGACTCCCATCTCCCATTTCATCCTTCTTATCATATCTCTATTATCTGATAACGCATCTACAATCATGAAACTCAGTCAAGTCACACTTTTAAACATGCTCTCAAACCACTATAAAAGCAAGACAAATCCTATTGAATTCATTAAATTTGAATTCATCAACACACAAACTGAAAATGTTGAAACTCATCGCAGCCATCGTACTCCTTGGAGTGGCCCAGGCATTCATCTTTGAAGAACCAGAGTATACAAGAAGACAGATTGCTACAGTGAAGGAGCTAGATGGGGCCAAGTACACAGGAAGGTGGTACCAGGTCTATGGTAACAAGTTTGGGGAGGTCACCTATGGCAAGAATCCATACTGTGTCATGGCCAACTGTAAGTATGCGTTAGAGCTCAGAGGACTTAACCAATATCAAAATATGTCAGGGATTGGGTTTGAAAAAGAATATCCATAGTTTTGTAGTTTTTGCTTTCCATTAGAAAGGTTATGTTATGGGTATGCTACTGTTACTCTGTATGCTATTATCATTTATCCAGAATGAAACAAAATATGAATCCATGTACCAAGTGATTCGATCAAAACCTTTGTCTCAGACCAAAACTCAACAGGATACTTTAATAATTCAAAATTCAAACTAATCAACAATGATCAAGCATAGTTCAGGCATGAGACATATTATTTGTAATGGCAGTCTAACATATTTCTCACTTTTCTTCCAGATGCCCTGATCAATGCCACTACCATCAGTGTCTTCAACTCTGGTAAAACAGAGTCTGTCAATGGCACATGGAGACAAATAGAGGGCTCTGCTACTCAAATTGACCCCATGAATGAGCCTGGAAAGTTCCAACTCAACCTGGAATTCGTACCCTTCCCCGCTGCTTGTAAGTATATAGTTGTATTAACTACATTTATCATGATTTCACAGATTTTTATTCGTTGCATAATACTCAGGATCTTGATACTTTAGCAAGCTCATCCAGTTTATAAAGCTAAGGTAAACATTGTCACAAACAGAAAACATAACACTGCTAATGATTTTCTTGTAAATTTGAAAAGAGTTGAGTTCATGTCCGGATTTTCAATAAAAATAAAGCTATTCAAATTTTTATTCAGACTGGGTTATGAAGCTTGGCCCAGTCAAGGATGGTCAATACGAGTACTCTCTCGTCACCAACGACAAAGGTGGTGCCCTCTATGTGTTGGTCCGTGACCCAGTTGTCTTCAAACAGAAATATGAGAAAGAAGCACTAGAGTTCTTGGAGCAGAAGGGATTCACTGAAGAGTTCATTAAGCCTGTATATACATACCACGGAGCTGACTGCCCATATGTCAACAAGAAACAGCCAAACTGGTTGGACAACCTTTGGGAAATCATTGGCTATTAAACTATGGGATCTGAACATCACTTGAAATATTTATTATAACTTATTTATTTATCACTTGGAAATATAAAATATATTTATACTTAACATTTAATATTTGTATAATTTGTGTTTCTGTAGACATGAATCAACTATTAATCTGGAGTGAAGATGCAAGAAATCTATTCATTCCCAATCTTTTTAGCCATACTTTCCTAAATATTGAAGAAGAGATATCATAATTCACCAGTTATCGAATTATCCATCTAATATCATCATGATCATATTCCTATCATTTGGGAGATGATTTACCATTGAAAGAAAAGTTATTCAAAAAGTGGAGAAATATTGATTTGAGTAAAAATATCAGAAAACAATTAGATAGTTCATTCAAATTTAGAGCAGAGGAGGGTAGGGGGGGGGAGTTATTGGGGATTTAAACAAACACTTAACATAGAGGTCCTTGTCCCTTACATTCAAGTATGAAAAAGACAAACTTGAATCCTTACCTCTTGCCAAAACACCCATGTGTTCTGTATACAAACACATCTAGCATATTAAGTGGAAAAATGTAACTCAATCATACTTGGAATCAGTTTTTACATTTCACAGAGTCTTAAGATATTTTACACCAATATTCACTAACAAAAAATCAGTGCTAAAATGAATCCAGGGGAGCAAGCTCAGATGCCTATCTCATTCTAGGCTCAAATTTCAGTTTAATGAAATCAAACAGAGAAGAGATTATACACAAACTATTAGCTAATCTTACAGCCAGAGCGCCTCTAGAGATTGCACTCTTTTGATTTGAACATTCTAGAGATTTGGTCCCAGTCTGGGCCCAGTAATGATCAAGATTATGTGGAACTTGAGCTGTTTCTTGTGCAAGGTGCCAGAAACCTTTGATATAAAGTAAACCTGTGCAACAAATCAAACATGTTCTGGAGTATTGATTTGTTCTATTCAGAGAGGGGAAATCACGACTATTCAGTTGTTGTATCTAGGCTGGGTGGGGGTCATACCTAAAAAATGGGAGACTATAAGATTATGAAGGTGTAATCTCATTGAGAGGCTTCACTTACCAGAGAGACAATGGAACATAAGTGATGTGGCTACAATTACATCACATGGTCTTGACAAAACTTACCAACAAAGTGTTACTAGAATGGTACAACTCAACTAGGCAGGAGAAAATCTGATACAAATGCACATTACAAGAACAGTCTCAATTTGAAGACCCAAATATATGAACCAATCAGATTTGAGCGTGAAGCTCCACCTCCAATCCTACAACAAGCTCCGCCTGTTGCAACACACACCAGCCCAACAAGGCCGACAAGCAATGGATCAGTAATATGTTTCAAAGTGGCATATTAGAGCAGGGAAAATATATGTCTATCAACAATGCATGTGGTCTCCATGGCAGCAGACTCTGCTGAGTCACTAGTATCACCATGGTGATGGGCCAAGAGAGCCTTACAAATCATGTGGTGATTGTTTTCCTTAGAGATACTATGGTAATTTGAGAATTACCATGACAACTGTGATGTATATACAGTATTAATGAATATAAACTCTGAACAATAGTCAAGTCATTTCATGTAATTGCGAAATTGTGTCCCAAAGAAAACCCTGACATAAGAAGTGAAGCACAAGGGCTACCATCATGGGAGCATGGAATATTAAACCAATTAGACAAGATTCTGCGACAAGATTGTGATCTGCCTTTACATCCTGGTCCCCTGCAAGTGCTCCAGTATCTAACACTTGTGTGCAAGGTCACGTCTTAATGAGGTCACTTACCACAAATAACTCTGTAACAAAACCAGAAGTAATATAACTCTTGTATTACACTTTCATATTACCATGACAGACTATATCAAATATAGATTTTGAAATTTGATTTTTTTAAAATGTTAAAATTGCAATCTCGTGGCCTATAGTGTCAGTTGTTGAGGGGTGTTATTGGTTCTGAAATAGCGCTGTTACTATTAATGCTTTGTGATGCCAGAAATGAAAAGAAGTCCGATGTAAACCAATCAAAAGTTCAATGTATAAAAGACTTCAAATATAGCAGACAGGCGGTTTTTACTGAGGATGTCTGTTAATTCTAACTATGGGAACATTGGAGTCAAATTATAGCCAACAAGTATTCCAACCAACCTCACACTTCATCTCACTTATCCACAACTTCTTAAGTTTCTTCCAAAAACATTCAAGATTTGTTTTGAACATCGGAAACTCATCTCTGTAATCAAGCTTTGCTGTTTTAAAATAATAAACCACTGATAATGTTGAGCCACCTTTCTTCATTCTATCAAGTTTCTTATACAAGTGTACATTGAAATTAGACTCCAGGTAAACTTGATTATACCTCTTGAATCAAACAAAGTGTTTTTTCTCAAAATGGTTGGTTGATAACTGCTGTAGAATAACTGTCTGGTTTGGCCCATATGAGCTGGTGAACTTTTTCTGTTGGGGTCAGTCGCTTCATATATACTGTTCAAAATATCAAGGAAGATAATGTCACACTGGTCTTGATGGAACAAAAAGTAACTAAGAGGCATTTTCTAAAATATACGTATTTCTCCTGAAGTCCTGCTCGTATGATGGCAGTAGTTCATCAAGCCTTTAACTATCTCCCATCCCCCTCCCATCCTTGTTCTGTAAAGTGGCAGGGCAGCAATCTTGCTTCTACCTCTTGTGACCCCCCCCCCTCCGACCCCTACACACCTATGGCAGAAACCAACCAGACTGAAGATGAAGTCCAAGAACTTCATTCCAAAGTATATATGCATACTGGTATATTGTATCATACATAATAATTGAGTCCTTGTACCCTTTGCATTCGTTTGACTTCACTTCTTAAGAGAGCTTCGTCTTCACTCTTTCAAACTAAAATAAACCTGTGAACTCACCGCGCCAATCAGTGTTCGTCGGCCAAATTTGACCGACGTTCTTTATATGGTCATTCCTTCTGACGTCATCGTTGAGCCCGGAATTGACCAATGAAATGCGCATATTTAATTAGAACGCATTTGGCGTAGGTCAAAAGTGATTTACCCAAACTGTCACCGGTACCCAGGGGCGGGGCTACTAAACTGTAATATGGTCTCTACTAGGCAGAGTGTAGTTTAACTAGACTCTGCACGCAGGGTAGAGTCCTTGTAGATCTAAACTCAACTAAAGCCTGAGGTACCATGTGGTCAAATTAATTAATCCATAAATTTCACATCAACAATATCCATATTCAAAACACAAAGTAAACGAATCTGGCCAGTAACCTGGATATGGGAATAATCTAGGTGTAATTGATAGTTTCAGGATGAAAGAGTCTGATAGAGCTCATTATTGCGGATGTAGAGAATGTTGAAAAGTGTAAGAAATGTATGGAGCAACTCTATCAACAGCATGTAGAGAGGAGATAAGCACAGATAGCAGAAAGCTGAGAGCTTCCAACAACATTGCAGTGTGGAGGTTAACACAGGAGGAAACTCCCATGCTCAGCTGAGAGCTGGCACAAGATCAGAGAAAGGAGAACTCCCATAAGTCTCTGTAGGGAATTTGAACATGACAAAATTCTTGAAATAAACCACTCTGAAACTTCAGATGTATTTCTGTGTCAGAAAATTTGCACAAAAAGTCAATTCCCATGATGCAACAATTTAACAAATTAGTCATTTTTTGCTTAGTGGTTGCATATCCTCTTCTGTGGTTTGGAGTATTATGAGATTACTGTGAATGATGATATCATTACTACATACTTTGAGGAATCCCATCAAACCACAAGAAGGATTAAAGGTTCTGCTCTGGCACACATAATATTCTTCAGTATTCAGTGGTCAGAAAAGTAGATGTATGGTACGTTAATTTGTACTGCGCCCCCTTTGTTTTGATCTTTCCAAAGTAGAAATGACAGATAAGAGGGAATCTAATAAACAATATGACATTTTTCCACTTCTACAACTGAAAATTACTAATTTGCACTCTTATCTGCAAACTTTCTCAAAACAACTAGATATTTTGGTAAAAATGGCTGGTTGTCTGCCACTAATGAAATCCCTGCACTAATTACCCAACTGGGTAGGGTGATTACCCTATTGGGTAGGGTGATTAGTAGAGTGACCAGAGACCTGATGTAAACTACATCTCTCTCTCTCTCTAACCAACTAATTCTTTGATTTACTGAGAAAAACAAGCTATTTCCTCAAGTAACCATTGCAATGTTAATAGTCTCAAGTAATGTTTTAAGCTACTATCTACACACTTGGATCTCTCAACACCGAAGCTGTTGTAAAACATTCAGCCAGGGCTACAGCTTATCTCTTAGGCTATCTACAAGACTTGTTAAAATGAAAAATTCTTGTTGGTAATTGAGTGTACGATAAATCTTGCATATTTCTGTATCTTATCTTCAAGAAGAAGCAAAGGCTTGTTCTGTCATCAGAGTTTGTGGTATACATTAACTTGGATACCCTTGAAAGCAATTGTCATTTTTCATATGGAGTATTGGTGTTTTCTATACAGTCTTGTGTGGTCTACTATGAAACAATGATCCATCTTCCCTGGGGTTTTCCACAAATCATAATAAATATTAATTGTTGCTATGGTTATACAATATACAAGAGTGGCTTGATGACAACAAAAGATAGCATGGAATATGACTTGAGTGATAAAAATAATTTGACAAGTTGGAGCATGCGTCTTCCAGCTGACAACTAAAACATGATTTTGAGAAAACTTGGCAGGGAAAGCATGGAAGTAATAAATCTTTCATTAGACATCTGACAGAAAGCCAAGCAAATTAAGAATACACACATAGATATTTATTTCATAGTTTGTGAATGTGTAAATATAAATATACAAGTGGAACAACTGGCAAATGCCATACAATATAACTATTCCATTTCCATTATGTGTACAGAACTATCTGGGGCTCACAAGGGGTATCAAATTCATGGGCAGTCCAAAATCTGACAAGGGGAGAGGGCACATTTCAAGTCTAAACCAAAAATTGGGCCTTTAAAATTAAAGGCCCATTTTCTTGATAGTCTCACCTAGAATTAAAAAAATAAGGCCCAAAAAGGCCCATTAATTGGGGGCCTAAA